ATCTGTCTACATTCATTTTCCGCTTGACAATCAGGTGGTGATCTGTTTCTTCGTTCTCACGTCTTCCATTGACCTTCTGAATGTATCTTAGTGATGCAAATATAGCCGATCTCGTTCTCTGTAATGTGATCCAGTGAGACCCATGTAGCTTTGTGTACGCGTTTGTGGGGGGAGAGGAATACACTACCACCCATAACCATTATGTTGAATGCATGTGAATCTGCAGATCTCTCGCAATTGTCATTCTTTTCTCCCAGTCCATGTCGCCCGATGATATCTTCTCACCTGGCGTTGTTCATTCCAACCTTGGAGTTTAGGTCTCCCGTCAGGATGGTCAAGTCCGTTCCTGGACACTTCACTACGACCGATTGCGTCCTTTCGTAAAACTGGCCTTTATCATCTTCACTGATATAGTTGGTGAGTGCATGACATTGGATAGGATTCTTTGTGATCTCCTTTGTTTTGAAGGATGCTTTGATGATTCTGGATCCACGAGATTCACATCCTATAAGTGTTTTCCATGCTTCATTGGACAGCATCTCAGCAACTTCCTGAGTGTGTGGAGCGTTTTCTTCTTCATGATCAGAGTACAACAGCATCTCTCGCGAATCTAATCCTTCCTGTCGAGCTTGGATCGAATCCGTTTCACTGATTCCGAGCACCTCCAAGTTGTATCTCCTGATTTCCGTAGCTATTTGATTGATCCTATCGGTCTCCCATATTGTCCAGACATTTCATGTACCGATCTTAGCTGTTGCTCTGGTTGTTAGAAGGGGCATCGGCCTCGTTACTTCCAAAGAATCTCGACTCTCACCATGAGGCGTCATAATCCTTCTGAATGAAGATCCTCCAACTCCCAGGGAAGATCTCAAATGGCTTAAACTGTTCATTCTGGTTAGTGTGCTTTTAGCAAGGTTGTTTTCTATGTAGTGGGATTGTTGATTCCATGTCCAACCCTTCTCCATTGTTCGGGTTTGGGACTGGCATAAACCCTAAGAGAGCTACAGCAAAAGTTGTCTGGATTATCATCTTGCTTCAATTGGTGACTGCCATGCATTTCCTGGAATCCTAGTAAATATTTATGACATGTGAGTCTAATCAGATCCACGTTGAGATGAAAAATCAATGGTAGCAGTAGATGAGGATTGTGGTTTATAAGAAATGGACTAAAGTGGTCTGACACTATGGTGTTCTTCTGCAGACCTAAAGATCTTGGCTCTCATTATATGTAAGTGCACTCCCAGTCAATGTTTGAGATTCATTGATAATACTCGGTTATCCAAACTTAAGTATGGAGCGGTCTTGCACCCAAAACCTATTTAGTTGAAAGTGGGATGTTTTAACTAACAATCCATCGTTATGTTGATAGTTACTAAAAGGATTATACCATCTAGCGAGATATGCTTCAGTAAATGTCACATTTACGGTATACATCAGTAAATTTGCTTGAAATCGCTTTACTTATATACCTATTAACAACCTAATTTTCGTAACAAATCCATCTGGATGGTTAGCAGACAATCTTGGTTTTTTAAACGTAATACTGATCAAAAACAGATTGAGGTGCCTGATCATAAGTAAGAATAAATAATCTTCATAAGCTAGACTTCAAAGCTAGTTGGGCTAACGTCCGAAAGGTCTTTTCCATACGACAACCTCATATCAGTTACACAACCAAAAAACATACTTGGTACATTGATACTACACCATGCATTCAGAGTAAAACTAAGAATTGTTTACCCATCAGGTTTATAATATTTCGAATTCACAGCGCATAACCAAGTTATTTCTCTCCCTTAAAGTAATTAATATGGCGTTTACTTTTATTACTATGCCTGAGTATAGTGTATAATCTAGGAACTGAAACAACACTTTTATTTGACGTTGTATTTATACAAAGAATATTGTGGGTAGCTTGGAAGCATTTTTAGCTTTCTTTTACTCAGACTACATTTGGGAAATCGATTTAGTGTTGTCAGTTGAATTAAACATCAGTTTTCAGTAATAAATATTATAGGTTGAAGGTTGATTTGGCTGTAGCAATTCTTACACTAAGTATTTCTGTTAAGCTTTAGTTTCTTCTCAAAAGGTCCATTGAGGAAACTGATATGACTTGTTCGGATAGAGGATCTTGTCGATCTGAATAATCCATACGATGTTAATTCAGTTCCGTGATCAAATGTGTTCAGTGGGATGACCGCAGTATACTTTCCAGATGATATAAAAGTCTGGAGAATAATAAGTAGTGATAATACTAAGCTCGAGAGTAAGCTGGTTCAAATGAATGAGCTAGGTGCTCACAAAGTTTGGATTGGAAGACCAATATCAGAAAGTGACCGAGTGCACATCAGCCACAACGACAACAACAACAACGACCAGAATTACATGACAAATGGAACGCCACTCTCACAAGATTAAGAACACCTAGAAACTTTAAGTCGTGACTTGAAAAAGACCTTACACTACAATGCAACAGCTGCTAAATGGTGCTGCGTAGTATGGTCACTTCGCAAAATCTTTAGATTCCTTGACGAAAATATATTTCAGATTTCATACCCCATTCACCTGACTTCACCTAAAATACTGCATCCACGCAGCTAATCCATGTCTTTTTAAAGATACTGACACTCTCGAGCATGTCTGACAAGTAAGTAATAACACAGTAAATGTCCTGACCAGTTTCTCGCATCATAAGAAATTACAACACTTAAATTCTCTACCTTATAATCAAATGTGAGGCCAGGTTACATTGGAATTTCGTGCCCTTAACGATCAGTTATGTGCTGACATGTCTACCTTCTTGTTAGCTTGAAGACTAACCATCCTCGATGCCTTCACAAAAAGATAAAAAGACTCACAATTAAACACACTCAAGATAGGATTCTATTTTCTCAGTGGTCATCGACAAGATCCTCTATCCGGACAAGTCATATCAGTTTCCTCAATGGACCTTTTGAGAAGAAACTAAAGCTTAACAGAAATACTTAGTGTAAGAATTGCTACAGCCAAATCAACCTTCAACCTATAATATTTATTACTGAAAACCGATGTTTAGTTCAATTCACGTATTTGTGACATGTTTTGGTCTGGTCGCCCCTCGCTTTCTTCCATCCTACTCCTACACCATAAAACATCGCTTGTCGGAGTAACAGAGTCAAACGTCGCCTTAAGTCGAAAAATACTACTATTGTGGAACGTCTGAATGTTCGTCTATGTTCTAGGACCTGACGAATTGGGATTATCTGGTCTATACAGCCACGTCCAAGTCGGAAACTAGCCTGGTTTTCTCTAGTCTGCTCTGCACGAGCTTTAGTTAGGCGTCGAACTATTATTAAAGCTAATATTTTATACACTGCATTAGTCAGGCTGATCCCTCTGTGACTGTCACAAGAGGACTTTTGTGCCTTCTTATAGACTGACACAATCAGTGATTGAGACCAGTCAGACGGGATTACGTCCAGTTCCCAGACTCTACCTAAGACCTTAGTCAATCTCACTGCCAATACTGGACTGCCATCCTTAAAAACCTCAGAGGTAAACCTGTCAGGGACTGCTGCTCTCCCTCGCTTCAGATTTCCTATAGCTTTTTCAACTTCGTTAAGTGTTGGAGGACCTACATCAACATGCCATTCAGGTCGAATGTAAATTGAGGGAAACCGAAGTGTGGCTGAAGGCCAGTTGAAATGATCCCTAAAGTGTTCCGCCCATCGATCCAATCTCCTGGATTGAGAGTGAATGATATGTCCATCTTTTCCCGAGATAGTTTTGCTAAAAGTTGGATTCATAATACCTGTGTCCTTGACAAGTCTTAACAGTTGTCTGCTGCTACTGTAGTCAGACATAGAAGTAACTTCAAACATAGTCCACGTTCTATTCAGGAAGATCTCGAGGGAAGAACAAGTGCCGCAGATAGACTAGAAAGAAGGATATTTCATCAAGATACCACAAAAAGATCTGAGCAAGTGTGAGAGCTACAGGGGCATTACACTACTATCCGTACCAGGAAAAGTTTCAAAAAAGTGTTATTGGACTGGATGGAAAGTTCAGCAAACGTTCAGCTTCAAGACCAACAGACCTGATTTAGTAGGGATCGGTCGTGCACAGACCAAATCGCGACACCAGGATCATTGTTTAGCAATCGATTAAATGGAACTCGTCACTATACATCAACTTCCTTGACTACGAGAAAGTATTCGGTAGTGTATGTAGGAGGACTTTATGGAAACTTCTTCGGCACTATGGAATGAGTACCTAAGAACATCGTCAACATCATACGGAATTCATACGACGGACTACAGTGCAAAGTGGTGCATGTAGAACAGCCGACAGACGCATTGCAAGTAAGGACCGGAGTCAAACAAGGCTCTCTATTCTCTCCTCCTTTCTATTTCTTCTTGTGGTTAATTGGATTATCGAGATGTCCACATCTCAAGGAAACCACGGAATACAATGGACAGGCTGGATGCAACTAGACGGTTCGGACTTCGCAGATGACCTGGCCTTTCAATACCGTACACATCAACAAATGCATATCAAGACAGCCAGTGTAGCAGCAGCCTCTGAAGCAGTAGACCTCAACATACACAAGGGAAAAATCATGATCCTCAAATGCAACATGGAGAACATCAATCCAATTACACTTGATGCAGAAACTTTGGAAGATGTGGTCTTTCACGTGCCTGGGAAGCATCATCGGTGAACAAGGAGGACCTGATGCAGATGTAAAGGCGAGGATTGGCAAAGCAAGGACAGCATTCCTACATTTGAAAAACATATGGGACTCAAAACAACTGTCTATAAACCAATATCAAAGTCAGAATCTTCAAAACGAACGTCAAGACAGTTCTACTGTACAGAGCTTAGGCTCCGAGAACTATTACAACCACCGTCAAAAGGGTACAGGTATTTGTAAGCAATTTTCTACACAAGATACTTATTGCCCGTTGAGGACGTTAGACGACTCTCTGTGTTCGATCATTGCTGTCTCCGAAGGACTGCTGACATCCAGTGGCAACACCATGTCAATAACGCGTATACTTACTCAATACCATACAACTCCTAATGCCTATGTCATCAAACACATTGTGTCCAAACAACTCGTCCTACAACATTATTAAACCATGAATGACTTAGCTGAAATCTAACCAAGCTCGAATATCCATCGACCGTATCACACTGTTAAAACCCACTACCTAGAACGACACAACAGACCAACATCATTCGCAGCTCGCGAAAACAGAACTACGTTTAGAAATAAAATCAAACTAAAATTTATTTTTTAATTTTACTTTAACAGAAATCACATGCCTCCACGTAGGCGCAGAACAAGATGTAAGGTTGACTCTTTCTGGATGTTGTAGTCAGACAGAGTACGTCCATCTTCCAACTGCTTACCAGCGAATATCAAACGTTGTTGGTCAGGAGGAATACCTTCTTTGTCTTGAATCTTCGCCTTCACATTCTCAATAGTATCACTAGGCTCAACCTCCAACGTGATCGTCTTACCAGTCAACGTCTTCACAAAGATTTGCATTCCACCACGTAGACGAAGGACAAGATGCAGAGTCGACTCTTTCTGGATGTTGTAGTCAGACAGAGTACGTCCATCTTCCAACTGCTTACCAGCGAATATCAAACGTTGTTGGTCAGGAGGAATACCTTCTTTGTCTTGAATCTTCGCCTTCACATTCTCAATAGTATCACTAGGCTCAACCTCCAACGTGATCGTCTTACCAGTCAACGTCTTCACAAAGATTTGCATTCCACCACGTAGACGAAGGACAAGATGCAGAGTCGACTCTTTCTGGATGTTGTAGTCAGACAGAGTACGTCCATCTTCCAACTGCTTACCAGCGAATATCAAACGTTGTTGGTCAGGAGGAATACCTTCTTTGTCTTGAATTTTAGCTTTCACGTTCTCAATAGTATCACTAGGCTCAACCTCCAACGTGATCGTCTTACCAGTCAACGTCTTCACAAAGATTTGCATTCCACCACGTAGACGAAGGACAAGATGCAGAGTCGACTCTTTCTGGATGTTGTAGTCAGACAGAGTACGTCCATCTTCCAACTGCTTACCAGCAAATATCAAACGTTGTTGGTCAGGAGGAATACCTTCTTTGTCTTGAATTTTAGCTTTCACGTTCTCAATAGTATCACTAGGCTCAACCTCCAACGTAATCGTCTTTCCTGTCAACGTCTTTACGAATATTTGCATTTTCCAAATATTTTCGAATACAGTAATGAAGACTATGCAAACAGCTGACGAATTTATATACTAACTTCTGGAACTTCCGAATTAGATGGTTAAAACAAAGTTAGCTCTCAAGGGATTTAATAATCCATGCATCAGGAACTGGTGATATGAGGATAGGCATTTGCAGTCAGGCAGATTTTAAAATTAAATAACATGATCTCATCGATAGGAGAGACGTGATCTCATCATTGCAGTCATGTAACTCAATTATTTGCATCCTGACAGTCCTAGAGAAGAATCACTCTCATTTATAGATGAACCATGAGGTCCGACGATCATTAGGATGAAAAAAGGTTTTGGAGCGCTGTCATCAGCCTTGGCACAGCAAATACGATGAAACGTTTCAGGTCGGTCAGAAATAAGTGTAGAAGTACAACCCAGGTAGTTCAGTAAAAATGTGGAAATAGGTTGGCACAATCTGAGAACAGGCAGCCAAAGAGACTGTTCTTGTACATAAATTACAGAATAAGGACGCACCAGTGATTCCTCAACGCAATTACAGTATGGTGTGGGTCCCAGTCAATGGAGGAAGACCAGGACAATGCAGAGGTCGTAGTAGACAATTCCAGGACAGTTTGCACTCATGACCATCTTCTAGACAAAATATTAGCCCTGAATCTGAAGTCAGAGAAGCGGTCTCTCCTTGTGAACTTCTATCGATACGACATATTAAATATCTTCAACACTTAATTTTGCATTATTAAAATTAGTGAGATAAAATTATACTCTAAAGGCCCTCGCACTTTAGACTCATGAAACTCAACATGGCTAACTGAACTTCACCATGGAATCTAGATACATGTTTCACAATCCATTGCTCCTGCACTAACTACGACTTCCTTGGTGTCACTATCAAGGTCGGATAACTATGAACTGGAAGGATTTGTTGTCATAACAGTTAGTAAAAGAGGGTTTAAGCATCACTCATCGGGCAAAAGACGCGTCACCCTCACCAGTGCTATGGTTTAAATACTGGAAATTATAATCAAAATGCCGTGGTGATATTTGTAGATACCAACAACTTTTCAGACGGCAAAGAATGCGTGCAGGATAGGTTTATCTCTTACAGTAAACCTTTCTATAGCATGATAGCAATGGCCGGAGGATCTAGATAAAGAAAATCATTGGATACTGTCTACGTCGACTTCAGCAAAACATTTGGTAGGGTGCCAAACATAGACTATTCTAGAACCCGGAAAATGTATTATTTGTGGACTTCTGCCAAAGTCGTATAAAGAAATTAAAGATGAATTCCAAATGCTCCTCCAAGTAGTTAGTACTGGATGGAGTTCCACAAGGCTCTGTCACAGGGCTTCAAGGGGACATTTACCAAGACAGATACAAATGTGTTCACTAAATTATACACTCACTTAGGTCTAAACTTGAAAACCGTATTCAGTTTGTAATGCGATTCGGATATCTTGAAAAAATCACAGAGGACAGCTACCCGTGCAATTCCAGAACTCCGTAGTTTATCATATGAAGAGTGGCTCTTCACTGTGTCCTACCGAAAATTCACAGGTGATTTGATTTTTATGTATAGAATACTAAGGGTTGAGTTCGGACCTTATGTGTTCCCTCTTCTTTTCCTATCAGAACGGGATAACTCGGAGCACATAGCAGGTGAGCACAAAGCCAAGAAAAACAAACGCACCCGTGACTAGTTGCTCGATTAATTCCTAGTAAAAAGCCGTGACCTTTGGAGTCCTTGTAGTGGCATTGAACAATAACCGCACAATCCACAAAGCTGAACACGAGACTACTCAGAAAATAGATATTCAATATTTAACGCGGATAAATACCTAACGATGGAGAAGGCGCGAACAATGGATTGAATGGACTGGAGTTGATCGAGTGGCATGGCTCGGCCATGCAGGCGTGGTCTCTGCTGAATGTTACCTTATATCTTCTATTCATATTAAATATATTGCTCCTTCTCTAGCCTAACCTTGTTCTACATAATGTACTGGTAATTGATACGATACAGTGAGTTGATGTAGTCGATGGTGTGACTTCCACGTAAGATCTTATAGATTAGGCAGTTATATCATGACAAATCTACAATTTCAGGATTAGGTCTATTATTAGAGCAGTACTAATATCATAGTAGACCATAATTCTACATCCTCTCTGCTCCAGTTATGGAAATATCTCAACCTCAGGCAATAAATGGGGGCTTACGCAAGTTCACAAATCGATTAAAATTGAGCAACAACACCGTTGGACACCGGCTTAGTGGTCTAGAGGTTAAGTGTTCGCGCACTAGACTGAGGGTCCTAGGTTCGACTCCTGCATAAAGGATCGTTGATCTGCACTGCCGAAAAGTCTCATACTAGGACGAATCGGTAGTTCAGTGCTTTCAGGTTTGCGATGGTGGTCTAACTTGAATCGACTCGTGAACTCGAACTTTAAAATTACTACAAAATCCACTCCGATAAGAAACATATAATTTTTCGCACCGTGTCTTCAATTCTTGGGACGTATCACTCGAAGAGATGGAGCTCTCTCCTATTCTTGATTCATTCAGGAGTAGACTTGACACTCTCGGAAGCTTATCGGAAAGGATTAACACAGGCCATAGACCATCCGATCTCAATACAAGAATTTGAGTGATTATGCTGGGTGGTTTTACAAGACAATACTTTCTAGGTCTACTGGGTGGCCATCACACATTTTAGGACGGTCATGTGTCTGTGGTGGGCTTTCACAGAGGTTGATAAAACTTTGTTCTACACTCTTTACACAGCATTACGTTCCCAACTCTGTTGCTTCTTTACATATCACAGGTCACCAACTAGGGTTCTCCAAGTTTCCAGGCTGTCCTTTGAACTTCTTACCAAATCCTAATTCGGTTATCCACACCTGGTTTCACATTTAGACGCTTCGTATAATTCAGTCTATCATTTTTTCTTTCACCTTTGGGATTCCTAGCCATGACCTGCCTTGTAATGTTCTTTGTTGGTTTCCTTAGAGTGTTTCCAATCTATTTCCTGCGCTTTTCTTGAGGCTCCTCCTGAACTGGAAGGTGATTTCTCCTCTGTAAGAGTGAGTTGGTGATAACTATCACTGACCATTAGTTTTTATGAATTCCTGTACCTATTTGGTGATAGCGGAAGTAGCTCTCAAACTCAACGCTATTCAAAGTACTATCTCAATGTTTATGTTGAAGATTTTAACCCCGGTATTATATGGCAATTGCCTTAGTTTCAAATATGCTTCCACTGGAAGTATACTGACTGTTACAACGATCCGTGACTTTATAGTGGGTTGAACTATCTGACTCTAGTTTCTATACTAAGACTTGTGGTAATTAGAAGTATTCGAATTGTTGTATTAACAAGAAATCTTCGAAATAACACAACTTAACCAAGAAGAACTATATGAGCACGGACGAGTGTATTGTATTTGAAATCCAATATCAAGCAGTCATGAATTACAAAGAAATCATTAGTTCATACGAACAAGTCATCCACCAAAGCCTAAATTGGAATCTAAGTCTATGTAATCCATTGTTCGTCTTCCCCTTAAGTTCATTGTATGTCATACTGTGCTTTGGATACAAACTCTATATTATCTGTAATATACTCATAAGTATTATAATTCACAACTTAAACCGAAACTGACTAGCCTGGTTCTTGGTATTGTATCTGATCAATATATCGTTTGTGTACTGAAATCACTAATACCTAGAAGTCGAACCACAGACTTTCCAACAATATCCTACCCTACGACATCGTGTAGGGTTCTTGTGTCGCGATATCATGAACAATTTGACGTTGCTAATTTGTATTGTTTTCTCACATCTCACACTACGATTTTTATATGTGAGTATTCGGTGATACACACTGATATATAATTCGACGTTAACTTGCACAATAATTATGATACATATTCCTTCCGCTTTTCACGTTAGGATATACGACGTCGTTGTCCCGGTTATCAGGTAAATATGCATTGATATGTGTAATAAACATATGTGATTCATATGGGCTTGATTCACCTGCAAAACAAACCGATGGAAAATATGCATCTACCTCAATCTCATTAGGATAATTTTGGACTCGATCTGAATTTTCTGCCTGTGCGAACTTCATATCTGGGCGAATCGGTTCTCTGACCGGCTTACCATTTCCTCTGATTCGTCATACCACTGACTAAGAATTGTACTTGAAAAACACTGGTTGTGAGAAGGTCCAACATCTGATTCCACAACATCAGAGATCTGATCAGGATTTGATGAACTCAACATATTTTCCACATATCTGTAAATAATTTCATTAGAAATCCATGAATCATGAGAACAATGCATATCTGGTAAAATAATGTCATGAATCTGATTACAGTATGACTGATTTGGAACATTCAAATCAGAAGAATCGGAATTACAAAGTCTAGCATTACTTGCAACGAAATAGACAGTAATAATACAATCTGACTGAATGTGTTCAATCTTGCCACATTGAGAGCATTTAGAATTTCGAAATACACATGGATTATATAAGTGAAATTTGCCACAGGACAAACACTGACCAAACATGTGTCCATCTTCGTGTCCTGCATCGGCGGATATTTAGGCGAAAGGTAGAACATTTTCCCAACAGAGCGACAAAAAAGGGGAAATCCGCATTATTTCCTCGGGACAGGCGAAAAAGCAAAAATTTTGGCGCGTTTCCTCTTTGTTCGCCTTTACTTTTCCTTTGTTGGTTGATCGGGATGAATCATCTACATAACTTTGAGTACGCATTGGATTGTGATGACTTGGTAATGAAGTGGAATTCCTGACATCCTGATGAATAGTTTTATGAAATATTCCTCTGTTACAGCACTCTAAATTTGCACAATTTACATGATCTAGTAGTGGTTCCTTAAGAGTTGCACAAGGAAGTGAAATACGCTTATCTGAAAATTCCAACATTACTAACAAGCTTCAGGTTTGTTTTCCGATGAATATAAGGAAACGAGCCACAATATTATTACCATCAACATCTTTATAGTCATAGACCAGATTTCGAAACTTTTCATGTAATCCTCAAATGCATCGAAATTTGAATTTATATTAAATTATTCTATCACAGACTTCATCACGACGCAAGTGTGACGACTAGAAGTATT